TAAAATTTATGAACATTATCTAGGGGTAACTTTCTACCCGCCAGGAAAGAAAGAAATAAGATTTTAACCAGGACACGTTGCTAAAGTTTTACAAGAGAGGCTGAAATTATGTCAATGTAGCACTTTTAGTGTCAATGTAGCACTACAGCGGTGTTCCCATGGAAGTTCCCTGAGAAGAAAGTGCCCTTATCACAAAGGAAATACTTACAAAATCTTAAAAGTACTGGGGATATATATTTTCCCATATAAAACTTAAGATATAATTATGTATAGTAAAACCCTTTACAATACTATACACTATGTACAGTTTTGGATTTTTTTTTTTTTTTTTTTACTATCAACGCAAGAGCAATGCCATCTGTCTCCAGTTAGTGTAGAGTCTTAGACACGTGTAAGGTTAAAATTAAACACAAGTTGGTTCTTGAGCTCCTGATAACCATCTCCATTGTCTTCCCTCTTCTTCAGTACCCTTTAAAAAAATGAGTCCCTTTGAAAATGTTACTAATTACCCACGGGTTCTTACATTATCTGTATAGAAACTACAGATTGACAAAATATATTTGTTTTAGTGGTTAGGTTGTGAATGCCAGGAACTGTCAGTTCTTTTAGTGTTAGCAGCTCTCCTTAACACCCAGAGCAAGCAATTACCATACCGCAGGTTCTTCTGGGTGTCAGAGGTGGCAGCTCCCTAAATTTTCTTGTATAGATTCCATTGTATTCCACTACCAACTGCCTTCATTGTTAGCGGAGTTGGCTGCTAATGGCTTTGGGCACCAGTGGCTTTTGGTATTACTAGTTTAGTTTGCCAGCTTAGCATCTTCTACTTGAGGTAGGAATCATTAACAGCAAACATATGGTATCCATACAGAGGACTTATTAGGAGTTATACTGCAGACAAGGGGGGACAGTGTATGGACTGAACCTGTGTAAGGACTACGGAGGTTGCTTATATAAGAAGAAAAGATGTGTTTGTGCATGTGCAATTCAGTCTTTCTGTCTGATTATAATTCTTCTCAACTTGGCTACAGAGGTACAGAATCATTCAGATAAGCTGAGGACAGTCATCTGGGATATTGCTACTTCTGACGCTTGCTGAAGCCAAACCAAATATCTCCCATGTGGCTATGGGGCACATGAAGGTGATTGGGGTAGCTCTAAAAAAAATAAAATGTATCTCTGACAGAACATCAGTCTCCTCCCTTCTGTCTCACATCTTCCCCACCCCAAAACTCTCCTATTTCTTTGTATCAACCCATTCCCTAACCTCAGCCCCTACATTCATTGATTTTCTTTTCTTTAGTAGTGGTGATGGAACCCAAGGCTTCACATTAAGCTTACATTCACAAGTCTGTTTTTTTTTTTTTTCTTTCATTGCTAAGACAAAATAGCTGACACCCAAAGTTTAAGGAGGAAAGATTTATTTAGGTCACAGTTTGTGGAGGTTTCAGTCCATAACTGGCTGGCTCCAAGGTAGGGTGGTGCACGGCAAAGAGGCAACCGTTCTTGGTAGCAGAAGACAGCAAAAGCCACAAAGGAGAGAGGAGAGACAGGCCTCTTTCTGTAACTTACATTGTATCCATTTTCCTGGGATTAGGGCAGTGCCAATCCAGTCAGTGGATTCCTTAGCCAGCAATTACTCACTCTTAATTCCAGCACCCTAATCCTAGCATTGGACCATGAATCAAGTACACACTCTAGATTCAGCCAACTCTGAAAAAACTCCTGAGGCTTCAGGGGAACATCTAGACATAAACCATAACATTCATACTGGGTTCAAACTCACAGTTTTCCCTGCCTCAGCCTCCCAGAATGATCTGTTTCCTGTCCCCTTAGTTTTACCTTTCTCAGGATATCATATAAATGGAATCATAAAGTATATTTCTATGAGTGAGTCTGGCTTGTTTTATTTAGGATAATGTTTTTGAGATTCATCCATATTTTTGTGTGCATTATGATTTTAGACCTTAAAACTCAAAAACAAAACAAAACTTTTGAGGATATAGAGAATCATCAAAGCTTTCTCATAAAAATATTTAAGAATGGACTCAAGAGAAAGTATAATCCTCAAATTTTGTTTTTAAAAAATGTCCTATACATTTAAAGGCTTTATTTCTTTATGAAAACTTAAGTCATCATAACATGTACAAGACCTTCTGTATCTCACACACAGACACACACACACACACACACACACACACACACGTGCATGTGTGCCCATCGTCAGACACTGTTCCTTTAATGAGGCGTGGAGAAGACAACCGCTTCAGGATTTTGGAATTAAGAATGCTAATTCAGCCAGGCTTGATGGCTCAGATCCTATACTTGTAGCATTTGGGAGGCTGAGGCAGGAGGATCACTACAAGTGCAAGACCAGACTGGACTCCATAGTGAGTTCAAGGCCTGTCTGAACTACACAGTGAGTCACTGTCCCACACACAAAAAAAGGATGTTAATTATGATGCAGGAAGAGAAAAACGAGTTCCTTCATACGAGCCATCAAAATCTACCCTAGGGGTATGTGTCAGGAGATTAGCAGTACAAGGGCCTGGTTCAATTCTCAGTACCAAAAACAAACGAACAAGCAAAATAACAACCACAAAACCACCCAAGAACCATACCTAGGGCCTTAGCTTACTGGAAATGTTAACCATGGTCCATAATTTTGTTTGAAAATGATCACCTAAGTGCCATTAGGCCAGAAGGAACTGTTCAGCTGTGACCATGATTTTGTTTGCTCTGGAAAAGATGAGTACAGTCATACGTTGTATGGTAATTTTTGAGAAATGTATCATTAGTCAATTTCCCCACTGGGTGAACATCATAGAGTGTATCTACATTCTCAGATGGCTTTGGCATAGCTGGAATTTGTGCCATTTGGGGCAGTCCTTCAATTTGCTGTCCTCCAACGTATTTGAACATGCAGTGCATATTTGGCAGCTAGAGTTCCTACCAAAAAATGTGCTGCCTGGAGCAGACTGCCCCCCACCTTACCCCACTTCCAGCTAAGCCACTGAATATCGCTAACTGGATAATCTCACAAGGCCACCGTCTTATATGTTGTCCATCTTTGACGGAAAGCTTGTTATGTGGTAACTGACTGAATTACAGAGAACTGCACAAACAAGAACCGTGAAAGCTAAGGAATATTTAGAAATTTTCAGGAAATGCTGACGCGGTGGCATCGCCCTGTAATTCCTGGCACTTTTAGCTCAGTCTGGCAATTTAGTGATTTAGTGAGACCTTGTCTCAAAATAATGAAGGAGATAGCTCAGTGCAATTGCCCTGCACTAAGATTCAGTACCATAAATTTATTTATTTATTTATTTAAGGAAACCAGAGAAGGAGCATCCTCAGACCATCTTCCTTCTCTTCATAGGCTAAAGAGCAGATAGGAGGAAGAAGAGGTCGGGGCTGGAATGCTTCCCAAATAACAGAAGACAGGTCGTATGGGTCCCTGCTCACATCCAAACTAGACGTTCTTCCCTTTGCTGCTGAAAGGATACAGACTGTCCGTTCTTGGAATCTCATGGCAGGAGCCAGGGAAAGTGGGAAGGAGGATCCATCAGTGTAAATACAGAGCTGTTCTTTTCCTTCTACAGGACCCAGAGATTCAGATTCTGAAGATGAGAGGTTTGGCTAGATATTCAGGCTAGAAAATCAATATATCCTTCTGTTTACAGCTAACATTGAAAAAGGCTTTACGTCACTGCCAACTAGTAACCTACCAGAATCCCAAGGAGAATAGAACTATTAGCCAAAGCTGTGGGTCCAGGAAATTGAAAATACCTGTGCACACCCTGGTTCTGAGATCCAAGGCCAGCTGCTGACCATGAGGTAGCCGTGCCTGTGGATGAAAGGAGCACTCTCCCAGCGCCTGGCAGAAGCCAGAATAAGGACTGGCTCAGCATTCTCTAAAGTCTACCTGCCATTTGATTGTCAGCTTCCATTTCAATTAAGAGCAAGAAACTTTCACACTGATTACCCTGGATTCCCTGGATACTCTTAACAGTCCTTTGCCATTGGAATCATGCGTCACACTCTGGGGAAAACAGCATGAACAGACCCCAAGCTCACAGACAAGAAATACAATCTCTGCTTACATGTAATTTTATAATAGCTTGTCATGTGTTGTCACACACTCTTCACAATGCTCCCCTTCATTTCTCATTCAATTAAATATTTGTTGAATGCTTACTGTGTATAAGACTTTATTGGGGGAGATCAAGTATGTGCATTAATACATTTTGTCCTAGTCACTTAAATCCCTAGCTCTGGATTTAGAAAGTACAAATCACAATGATCTGTTCAACAAATCATTCCATAATTTCTCTAAGAATTATTCAATGAGCCGGGTGTAGTAGTACATGCCTGTAATTCCAGCACTCAGGAGGCTGAGATAGGAGGATGTCTATGAGTTTAAAGCCAGCCTGGGCTACAGAGTGAGTTCAAGGCCAGCCTGAATTGCATACTGAAACCCTATCTAGAGGAAGAAAGAGAGAGAAGGAGAGAGAGAGTCATTAGTGTGAGAAGTTGAAAGAAACAACATATGTATATGGTATGTATATGTATATAAAAATAGTTAAGGTAGTTACACTACTGATTTTTCTGAGTTCACTGAAGAGAAAGATTTGTGCTGGTATTGTTCAGACAATTGAACACAGATGTCTTGTGCTCTAGTGAACGATTTGGGGATGGCAATTCACAATGTATGTACCACTGTTGCCCCCTGATTGATGTGTTTTGAAATTTTGTTTCAGTTTTTTTTCTTTTTCTCTTTGAAATAAAATGGATTGTAAAAGAGAGAGGAAGAGAGATTCACTAAAGATTTAAGAGTCTAGATGCGAAGTGTTACTGTCTTGATCACTTTCTTTGTCACTGACACACAATACCCAACACCCACAACTTGAAGGAAGAGATTTATTTTGGCTTAGTTTATAGGGGCCTCAGTCCATAGTCAGCTAGTTCCGAAGCAGGGCAGTACGGCGAGGGGCATGGCAGAGGAGAAGCTGCTTATAGCGTGACAGCCAAGTCAGAGAGAGAGTCCTGGAGGCCAGGAAGGCAGGTAAACCCCTCCACTCCTTCCCCCAGCAAGCAGCTGTACAGCTCCCGGATCCAGTCACTTCCCAAAGCCCCACCACTGGTCACATGAGCTTTGGGGAAGGGAGACATCTAGACCTAAAACATAGCATCCATGCACTGGAGTCGGCTGAGGGGATAAACAAAGGAATATGTGACTTGTTAAACGACAAAATAACACCAGTTTTATTTAGAGATCTTAATTGTCTTTATTTATTATTCTAGAAGCAGGGTAATTCTTCATTCCATAAAGCAGAGTAAGTGCCCTGACGGGTTAGCCATGTGTGATGTGCATGCCTCTAATCCCAGCCTTCAAGGGGGTGAGGCAGGGGGATCATTGTGAATTCAAGATCAGCCTGAACACAGGCCCTCTTACTACCTCCAAAATAAGTGTCCAGATAGGCAAAGAAAGGAGGTTAATTTTATAGGCAAAGAAGGGCTAAAAAAATAGAGACATATCAAACATTACAAAGTACCCCATTTATATATGATTTTTATGCTTTTGCGTATCAATTAACAATTTAAGTTGGGTGTAATGTTGCACACCTGCAGTCCCTCAGGAGGCTGAGGCAGGAGACTCACTATGAGTTTGAGGCTTGCCTAAGCTACAAAGGGAGTTCAAGGACAGCTTGAACTGCATAGTGAAATCTTGTGTCAAAAAATAAATAAAATAAATTTTAAAAAATTTAAAATTAAAGTGAGAAAAGTCAGAAACAAAGAACAAAAAGTTTCTTTCTTTGTAAAGTGAGGACAGAGGCACAGAATAGAAAATAATTGACTGGTTGACACCAGATTAATTCATATAACTTTTATAAGGATTAAAGGATGTAAAGATTAAAGCAGAGACAAGTTCTCACCAAGTTGTCTAGGTGGGACTTGAACTTGTAATCTTCTTGCCTCAGCCTTCTAGAGCACTGGAGTTACAGGCATGCATCACCGTGTTCAGGCTAAATAAATTACTGACATAGGAATACTATTCTGTCTTTCTTATCTCCTTGACTGCCAAAAAGTTCAAAGCCAAAGGATGTTCAGTGATAGTTATATGCTGGCTGCGGCAGCTGGCATGTGTTCACTATCCTGGACCTTATTTTATACTTCTATTTATATATATCATTATTATTTTATGTAAAGTTACTGAATTAGGGTTCTCTAGAGAAACAGAATCGATAAAGACATATGTATAATTATGCAAGGAAATTTCTTATGTAGGCGTACAGGATCAGAGACAGGGGAGTTCACAATGGCTGTCTATAGGGTCAGACAGAATATCCTGCAGTGGGTTGCATGGTTGGATGAGTCCATAGCTGCTCAGCCCAAGATGATGGAAGCCACAGAACAAGAAGGATCAGGATGCAGTTCCAGTCCAAGTTTGAAGGCTCACTGTAGAGTTGCTGTGTGAGCCTGCACTGGGAGACTGGAGAAACTGGGGACTGATGTCCAAAGATGATGGTAAAGACTGGGGCTCTTCCAAAATGAACACACTTCCCTCTTCTTTCGCTGTACCCCATCCAAGTCTGTTGGCTGGCGCCACCCATATCCAGGTTGGGTTTCCCACCTCTCGCTTTGCTGGCCTACAGGTCAATTGTTCACAGCCACAGTACTGTACCTCAATAATTTGTTAGATGGTTCATAATCCATTCAAATCGACATGTCGTGATTACTGCTCACAATCCACTCTTTGTCACTTGACGACTGGACATGTCTTCTTAAACTATGCTTAACTGCCAAATGCAATAACAAGCTTGTAAATACCCTTAACATGATATACCTACCCTGTCACAAATGGAAACAATTATTTCCTTCCCAGAATAGAAGGCAAAAATTTTCTTTGAGTGAAGCCTCTTGACATTCTGTAATTTAAATATTGTAAGACAGATTTAATAATACTTAAGTATCAGCATATTAAGACAACAATGTTTTCCTGGTGGGGTGACTCTACCTTCATCTCAAAGGTTCTGAGCCATTTGTCATCTTTCCTAGGTTAGGTTGTTGTAGTTCTCCACTGACTTTAGTGACAGTACATGGTAATAGTATGAGAGACACGTTAAGGGATATCCTGCACTCAACACATTTTCTCCCTTATCTCCCTGGTGGAGTAGTTATCCAAATTTCCCCTGGTAATATGGATTGATCCAACACCCTAACTCCCCTTTCAGCTTGTTAATTCAGAGGCATGAGAATCCCAAATGGCCAGGAGGAAGTTCTGGTTCTAGTTCAATGTGTTTTCTCCTTTCTGGAACTAAGACCTCTAGGCCAGCGGAGCATAAGATCATTAGAAGAGGAAGCAAAAAGTTTGTTTCACCAGGGTGAGTGGTAGGATATCAATTTTCACCCCTGGTTCCTGAACCCATGAATCCTGGCTAAGGGAGAAACTTACCATATATCGGACACTGATGCAGAGCATACACAGTTTTCTGGAAAACTTTGACCTAGTTCTGCAAGTGCCATCTAGCTGGCACTGTAATGGTATCTTCAAAAGGCCTTTCCACTGAAGTCAATCTTGCTGCTTCTGGATGGTGGCAAATATGGTAAATGAAGTGAATTCTGTGAGCATGAGCCTATTGTCACACTTCTTTGGCTATGAAATGCATTCCTTCATCAGAAACAGTGGTGCATGGAATACCATGATTGTCCACGAGGTATTCGTAAGTACATGGTTGGTAGTTTTGGCAGAAGAGATATGTCGAGGCAAATTTATACCTACAACAAGTATCTCTCCCTTTAAGAACAAAATGCTGCTCGGGGTTTAGCTCAGTGGCATAAATGCATGTTTGACAAGTGCAAGGTCATGAGTTTGATCCCTAGTTTAAAAAAAAAAAAAGGAAAGAACAAGATGCTGCCTTTTCCAGGGTGGAAGTGGTCCAACATAGCCTGCCTCCAGGTCACAGGCTGATTTACCTGGGAATGGTGCCATATCAGTTTGTCTCAGCTCCTAGCAGATTGGGTACTCAGCAGTAGCTGTAACTAGATCGCCCTTGGTGATTAGAAGCCCATGTTACTGAGCATATGCATTCTTGCCACCGTGATAACTTTGTTCATGAGTTCATTGGGCAATGACAGGGGTAGCTGGGGAAAGAGGTTGACTGATAGCCATAGAATGAGCCATCTTATCCAATTGTTTATTAATGTTCTCTTCTGTGGAGGTCATCTTTGGTGAGGATTTACATGGAATACACATCCTTTCCATTTGGAGAAATTATTTACCTATCTCTTCCCCAGTGTCTGTATTGCCAATTTTCCAATCACGTTCCTTCCATGTCCTTGAACATCCAACCAGACCATTGGCTGTAGCCCATCAGTTTGTATACAGTTGCATGTCTGACAATTTTTTCTTCCAAGCAGAATATATAACTAGACATTCTACTCAAAGTGTGGCCTGCTGTGAAGATTTCCCTTTATTATTGTCCTTTAGGGTTGCCCCAGAAAGGGCTTGTAGGATTGCAGCTGCCCACTTTTGGATGGTGCCTGCACAAGGCCCACAAGCATCTGTAAACTAGGCCTTAGTCTTCCTGTCTCCTGTCAAACAGTGAACTAGTATATGGAGGGCACCATAGGTACGTGCTGGGGTGACAGAAGGCAGTGTAGCAGGAGTAGGAACCATGGGTTTTTGGACCACTTCTTCATGTAATTTAGTTTTACCTTCAGAACTCACCTGAGCCCAGTCACCTACTACCATTTCCATTTGGTGATGGGTTGTTGCTATACATGTCCAAATTTATGATTCAGTGGATCAGAAAGCATACAGTTCACGACGACCATGATAACCTATTGTCCCATGGTCACACACTTAGTTTACACTTACACCTTGTAGCAGGCCAGAAGCCATTTCTCAAAGGGAGAGTATTTTATGTAGGTGATGTAAAGTTTTGCTCCAAATTTGAGGACTTCCATGGTGACTCATCTTAGAGTCTGCCAGAACCCAAAAGCATCTGTATCTGTCAGAGTTAAGTTCCATTGTGTCTGGACTGCATTCTTAAGTGACAGGGCAGCTTATTGAACCTCCCAGACTACTGCAGAGCCTTTTCTTCTTCCAGGCACCATTCAAAGCTAACAGCTTTGTGAGTTACTCAACAAACAGTCCAGAGTAACACACACAGGTGAGGAGGACACATGTTGCCTTCAAAATCCAAATAGGCCCACTAGGCATTGTGTCTCCTGGGTGTAGGAGGGACTAGATGCAGCAACGTATTCTTCACCTTAGAAGAAGCATCTCTTCATGACACACAGCACGGACTAGTGTAAATTTCATGGAGGTAGAAGGCCCTTGAATTTTGTTGGATATATTTCTCATCTCTGACATGCAAATGCTTTACCAAGAAGTCTAATGGTTGCTACTTCATGATCACTTGCTTCAATCAGTATAATGTCATTGGTGTAATGGACCAGTGTGATACCTTGTGGGAGAGAAGTTCAATCAAGATCTCTGTGAAATAAGTTGTGACACAGGGATGGAGAGTTGATATACCCTGAGGTAGAAGCGAATTGTTTCTGGGCCTGATAGATAAATAAGGATAAAGAGGCATTTGCCAAATCAATGGCTGCATATCGAGTACCAGGATATGTGTTAATTTTCTCAAACAAAGAAACCATACCTGGTACTGCAGACATGATTAAAGTCACCACTTGATTAAGTTTCTGATAATCTTCTATCGTTCTCCAAAATCCACCAGTTCTTTCTTTCTTTTCTCTATCTTTTTGAGACCAGGTCTCATCATGTAGTTCAGACTGGCCCTGAGCTCACCGTGCAGGCTAGTCTGGCCTTGGACTTGCAGCAATCCTCCTGCCTCAACTTTCCAAGTTGTGTACCACCACATTTGGCTATTTTATTTTTAAAAATTATTTATTTTTATTAGTGCACGTTTGCAGTTTATAATGTTTACATTCATCTTGGGGAGTTGGTACATGCATACAACACATTTTAATTCTTTTAACTTCTCCCTCCTCTCCCGCAGGCCAAATAGAAGAATTAAATGGGGATATGGCAGATACTATCACTCCATCTTTCAAGTCCTTGATGGTGGCAGTAATCTCTGCAACCCTTCCAGGAATATGATACTGCTTTCTGTTTACTATTTTGTCAGGTAGAGGTAAATCTAATGATTTCAATTTATCCTTCCCACCATGATATTCCTCACACTATGAGTTAAGAAACCAATATGAGTGTTCTGCCAAATACTGCCAAATTGTTATGGTTTATACTTAGATGTCCTTCTAAAGCCTTGTGGTCATAGGCAGCCCTTTTGGGAGATGGCTGACTCTTGCAGCGTCATGGAGGCATCATACTTACCAGTCTACTGAGGAGTTTAAGGCTAATGCGATGTTGGGAGATAAAACCCTGTGGGAGGAGGTGGGCCCCTGGGGGTGTGGTTTGGGAGGGTTTATCTTCCTCCCTCTTCTCCTGACCTCCTACCACCATTTCAAGAGCACTTTCTCCTCTGCCATGGCCCTCTGACATGACACCCTTCCCTGGGAACCAGCCCATTATAAACTAAAACCTTTACAAACTGTGAGCCAAAATAGACCTCTTCCTTTAATTATGGGTATCAGGTATTTGTCCAGCAATGAGAAAGTAACTGGAAGGTAACTAGATAATGACGTACATCTGTCTCAGTTATGCATCCTGCAACTGGGGAAATGAGCACAGAATGGATTTGGGTGGCTGCCTGACCCACTACAAGTTCGAATAAAACTGCATCACTCCACTGACCACCTCTTCTCCGTAGTCCCCTATTCTTACTGGCCACAATGGTGTTTAGGGTCTAGAATCAGCCTTAGTTAAGATCCAGCATCCAATAGGCCCTGAAGGCCTGCTCCTTTCCCTTTCCTATATGTACAATTACCCTGGTAAACAGTCTTATGTCCCTTTGGAAAAGGATAGGAGAAAAACTAATAGTATAACTTTTGGTAGTATATTACGGTCCTTCCTCAAGAGGAGCTGGCATCCCCTTTGTACAAGGAGTTTTGGGTCTGTAAACTGGTTTGAGTCTGGGAAATAGTTAAGCAGCTGTATTCTCTGTTTCTAGGATTGTAGTTTTTGTTTGTTTGCCCTAAAGTCCTTGTGTTTATAGAGGTCAGTAAAAATTTGATAGATTTCCTATCTATTTCACTTCTGAGAACACCACAATTAGCCAACACCATAGATCTGTACACATCAGACCATCCCTATCTTTGCTCATTTCTGCCCTCCATTATGGTAAAGTACACTGATCTTGCTTTTGGTGCCCACGCACCCCTACTTGGCTCCTGCCACTCCAGGATCAGTTATATCTATTGCATTTAAGTGCCCCAATGCAGTGACCACAATCTCTAGTACAAGGTCTGGCATATAGAAAAGAGCAACGGAGGAGTTTTTCAAGGATGCTGGTGCTCCTCTCGTGAAGTCCCCCCCCCCAATCTATTTCTTAAGGTATTAGTGAAGGGCACATAGTGAAGGAGCCTCTCGGTGTGAAGGATGGTTTTTACCTGGAAAATCCACTTTAGTCTTTCCATTTCCCTGAGCCTTTGAGTTCCCTTATCAACTGTAAACCAAGGATTGTCAGGGATCTCCAGCTTACTCACAGTAGACCATCTTTTCATCCATATTTCAGCACATCAACCAAATAAACTTAGTGACATTTTTTTTTGACTCCACAGGAGCTACAGCATTAGGTCTAGAGTCTCTGCATCAGGGGCCTCTACCAAGAAATTCAGTCTCATTTATATATTCATTTATTTCTTGAACCAGGAATCAAACTCAGGACCTTGTGCTTGCCAGGTGGGCGCTGTGCCACTGAGCTATATCCTTAGCCCAATTCAGTCTTACTTAGATTTATGTCCCTTTATTATTATCCTGCACTTTTTTATTTTGTACAGGGAATTGAACTCATGCTTGTCAGACAGGCACTGTGCCATTGAGCTATATTCCCCGTCCATGGACTACACTCTTAAAATCATTCTTAGACCTGTACCTTAGACGTCTGCTAATAGGAATTAGACAATTCAAGAAGCTGTTTGGGAGAAGCTGCTTAGCGTACCTCTTGGGTCATGCTGTGCACCTCACCTCTAGGAGCCTTCTGAAAATTAAGTATGGTTATAAGCCTAGAAGCAAAAGTGGATGGGAGGTGGGTCCGGAGGAGCAGCAACTTCTTATCTGGTAAACAGCATGAGGGAAATCATTACCATTTCCATATGCAAAGCAAGATAGTATTCCTTGGGCAGAGGCAAAAAGGCCAGGACTACAGAGGGTGGAAGTGGGTATGTCTGCCTCTAAGGATGAAGAAATCTCTCCCTCGGGAAAATAATCTCATCAGAATCTAGGAGTTTAATCCTGCCAGCTTTGTCACTTCCTTATAAATGTCTCCACTCTAATTTATAAGATTGCATTCTTTTCTAACCAGTGCCCTCATTTAACTGCAGGTACTCTTTGAGGCCAAGTGCTAAACTCCTGTGTAATCTAGCCAATCACATTACAAGAGCTTGTGTTTTGTTTTTTTGGCAACTTTGATACTAGGACTAAAGGAGAGAAGATTCTCTTTTAGGACATACTGAGAAGCCTTTAGTTGTTAAGTATCTGGAGCTCACTTCCTTTTTTCCTTTAGAAGATTGTCCAGGGATGCTAAGAGCAATCAGTCAGCACTAATATATTTCTTTCCAAAAATATTCAAAATTATTGTATATAGAGTTACTAAATTCCTTGCATCTCACAAGTGGCAAATCAGGAAAATCAAACAGATTTATGTTGGGTGTTATTTTATATAGTTCACATCATGGACTGTCATTATTCCATATTATCATAAGGTGGGACCATATGGAGCACCAATTACAGGAAACACTAAACCAATTAGAGAAATTATCCTTAAAATTCTATTTCTCTATAACGACTCCTGGTACCACAATCTGTGTTACTTAAGGCTCTCTAGAGAAACAAAATCAATAGAAAATATGTGTGTAATTATGCAAGAGGATTTAGTAGGCAGGTTTGTAGCACCAAAGACTGGAGAATCCATAGTGACTGTGGGGTGACAGGCAGAAGGATAAGAGTGACCATCTGCATGCTGGAGAGCCTGATGATCCAGGAGTTGCTGATCCCAAGTGATAAGATTATATCCAAAAGATGAGAAGTATAAAACAAAAGAGGCCTTTATTCTGAGAACACCTAGAGAGAAAACCAAAACACCCCCGACCGTTGGAGTTCGGCTTTCTCACTGGCGGACACGTGGCATCAGGGGTATGTAAGTAGCCTCGGTTTGGGGTGGAACCTAAAGGGGCATCAGGGATGCACAGGTAGCCCATTGGTCTTGGTTTGGTGCCATAGGTAAGTTCCCAAGGGCGGGGAAGATGGAGTCACAGGTAAATTCCTAGGGGTGGGGGAGATAGGAGCTCCTTGGTTCCGTCTCTAAGGCTTCACTGGTGACAGTGTCCTGTCTGGGCCAAAACCCTTTCATATCCCGTCTTATTATTATTATGAAAAGGGGTGAAGATTTCTCTCTTTAACTACTTCCTGCTGGCAGGGGGCACTGTACTGGAGTCTAGGGGAGTCGACAGGATGACGGTTGATGCCAGGGTAGACGCTGGTGCCAGGTGTTTTAGCCAGGACAACTTCACTAGTGAATGCACGTATGTTAGAATGGAAAAACAAAGGGACAAGATGTTATGAGGAGGCATGGCACTGTCATATGTAAGGACCCAGGTGAGGTAGAAGGAAAGGTGCTTTTTGATTTAGACATGTCATTATATCAGGACGACGTTGAGGTAGGAACATTTCCACGGTAAGGCAGAATTCTGAAAATTAAATGTGGAGTTAGGAGAAGTGAAGTTATGAGAGGTGATTACTCCCCCATCTGAAAGCATAAAAGTTAAAAGGGTAAGTCTTGTCTCTGGTTCAGGAGTTGAACTGGAAAAAATAGAGGGAGCAGGGAAGGCCATGGCTGTACCAGTATAGGGAAGGTAAGGGATTAGGCTTTCAGGGATGTCACATTTAACCAGACAGCTGAAGGTAGAAAGAACTGTGACAGTCATCGCATCTCCTGGGGATATGGGAGGATCTGGTTTGGCCTCTCCAGAGGGTTGTGGGAGGCAGAGATCAGCATGTTGTCACAACAAGTATCAGAGGAAAGAGAGGACTGACATAGTCAGCAAGGGGAGGGAGATTTTGGGGAGTAGGAAGATTCTGGAGTAAGAATGGCCTGCTGTACATAAGTTCAAAAGGACTTAAGAAAGTAGGATCCTGGGGAAGTGCCCTGAGCTTGGCTAAGGCTAAGGGCAAAAGTTGAGGCCAAGGTTGGTGTAGTTCTAAAGTGAGCTTTGTAAGGTGTGTCTTTATGAGGCCATTTGCCTTTTCTACTTTCCCTGAGGATTGTGGATGGTATGGGATGTGTAGGTGCCAGCTGATGTGTAAGCTTGAGGATACCTGTTG